GAAGACAACAAGCGCTCGAAAAGAAGCTCACGCTTCAGTTACAGAAGAAAATATGGTCAGGCTACACCCATTCTACCTTGAAAATTGCGCAACTTCTCAAATGTGTCCTTATCCAGAACGTTTCGAGAATATTCCGATTTGTACCGGACATGTAATATCAAGTTCTGGTCAAAATATACCTGTTTATGGAAAGGGCACAGTGGTAATAAATTGCGAGTTATATGATGGTTCTGTTTCTCCTTGCCGTCTTTCTGACGTCCTGTTCGTTCCGAAATTGAGTTGTCCTTTATTTTCATGGAGAGAAGTGAGATCTAAAGGTTATAAATTAATTGATAATGGAAAAATAATGCAAATTTCATAGGGTGAAAAAGTGTGGCTAGAAGCTAAATTTAACGGCTCTTTACCTCACATACCAGAAGTCACTGACTTTGCTTGTTTAACATGCGAATTTTGGCATGAAGCTCTCTGTCATTCTGCACCATCATCCATTCAGAAGACAGAGAAGCTCATCCATGGTGACAATGTGATACCAAATCGGCCCAAAGATTTTTTCTGTCAAGCTTGCGCAATGTCCAAATCGATACATACTACTCCGAAAGCTACCTCTAGTCGAGCAAAGAATAAAGGGGAATACATACACTCTGACCTCTGTGGCCCCTTCCCAATTTTATCCTATGGTAATTCCCATTATTATATCAGCTTCGTAGACGATGCCACTCGCTATTCAACTGTTTGCCTTCTCAAAACAAAGTCGGAAGCTACTCAAGCTGTCATTGACTACATATTAAACTTGGAGAAACAAAATGATTGTAATGTGAAGCATTTCAGAACTGACAATGGTGGTGAATACTTGAAAGACTAATTTACAAAATTCTTTGCTCAGAAGGGGATAGAGCATGACCTAACCCCCCCTATTCCCCTGAGTCTAACGGTGTTGCTGAACGTCTGAATCGATCTATCGGCGAAGGAATACGCGCAATGCTTTCTAACATTGAAAACAAACGACTATGGGCCGAAGCAGTTAAAACTTATGTTTATGTCAAAAACCGTCAATGTCACAACGCTGTTAATGGGCAGACGCCTTATGAGGCTTTCCACGGGGTTAAGCCCTCCATTTCGCACCTCCAGCCCTTTGGACGAGAATGTTTTGTTCACATCCACAAGGCTAAACGCCCTGCTGGAAGCAAACTTCTCCCAAGAGCTGAGAAGGGCATATTTGTCGGGTACACAAAAGTTTACCACCTCTACCGTATCTTCACCCCCGAAAAAAATCAAGTTGCGGTTTCAGCTGATGTCAAATTTTCGAACCTTTTAACAGAAAAAACATACACTGAACCAGTACTTGTAGAATTAAGACTTTCAGGAACTGAATCCACCTTTCAACCTTCCATCAATAAGGATAAAGCTTGGATCAACCCGAAACAAAATGGATCTGAAGAACGCAACTCTCTTCTGCCATCAGACGCCGATCATACTGCCGAACTTCAACCAAACCAACCTCCATCTGATCTAATAGGTCCACAACCTAACCCTTCACAAGAATCAACATCTTCAACTAGACCCAGAAATTCTCTGAGGCTTTCACAAGAAAATGCAACCATTATAACTCGCTCCGGACGTCAAGTACAACCTCGGGCACTCAACAATATGATATTAGGGGACTGGTGGAAAGCGAAAGCTAGATCCACAAACCAACTTGTTGAACCTTAAGATTTGTCTGACGATCTTCAACCAGATGAAGCAATGATTAGCATATTAGAAGTTACTGAACCAAAATCTTATGGAGAAGCTACAAGATCTCACCACTGGGATAATTGGAAGAAAGCTTTTGATGATGAAATTTCCTCGCTTCAAGAAAATAACGTCTGGGATCTAGTTCCAAGACTAAAGGGAAGAAAAGTTGTTGGTGGTAAATGGGTTTGTAAAGTGAAGGGGAATGCTCAAGGAGAGCTCGAACGTTTCAAGGCAAGGTATGTCGCCAAAGGATTTTCCCAAACTTATGGACCCGATTACGACGAAACCTTTGCTCCTGTTGTTCGTTACGACTCTCTGCGACTTCTATTGGCTATTTCGGCTTTTAAAGGCTGGAAACCACGGCAGCTTGATATAAAAACGGCATTTCTATATGGCATCTTGAACGAAGAGATTTATATGGAACTTCCTGAAGGGTACAGGATAGAAAACCATGTTGCACGGTTAAAACGATGTATTTACGGCTTGAAGCAATCACCACGGGAATGGTATTTTAGGTTGGTCGAATACCTTCAACCTTTTGGTCTTGCTTCTACCTTATTTAATCCCTGTGTTCTTATCCACAGCTCAGGTGACTTGATTATTGCAATTTATGTTGACGATATAATTCTCTTTGGAGAACAAGTTAATTTGATGGAAAACACAGTCAACAAGCTTAAATCAGAGTTTCATGTTAACGATATGGGACTTCTTAATTGGCTCCTTGGAATACAAATTGAATATAATAATGCAGGTATCACTCTTTCTCAATCTTCATACATTGAGAGAGTCCTCACACGATTTTCTATGCAAGATTGCAACCTAGTGACCACTTCTATTGAGCAAAACCACCAGCTTATGGCTACAACTGACAACACTAGGGTCAATGCTACTCTCTATCAGCAAATCATTGGATCTATCATGTATTTAATCACTGGGACTAGACCTGACCTTGCATACACAATAACACACCTCTCACAGTTTATTTCGAATCCCTCTACTTCTCATTATAATGCAGCAAAGCGCGTTTTACGATATCTTAAAGGAACAAAGGATCAAAAGCTTCTCTATAGGTTTGATTCTAACTTGGTACTTAATGGATTTTGTGACGCATCGTACGGAAATTGTCTTGACACTCGAAGAAGCTTTTCTGGATATATTTTTCAACTTGGTAGCTCTACTATCTGCTGGCGCTCTCGCAAACAAAGTACTGTCGCTCACTCCACTTGCGAAGCTGAGTATATGGCGCCAACTCTTGCGACTAAACACTTCATCTGGCTTTTACGTGGACTACATCAACTTGTTAATGAAAATATTCCTGCAGCTCTATCAACCGATAACAATGCCGCTATTAATCTCGCTCATAATCCAAAGCTAAACGACGCTTCTAAACACATTGATATTGCCTACCATTTTACGAGAGAGAAGATAGAAGATGGCTCACTTACACTACTACATGTTGCATCAGAAAATAATCTCGCTGACATATGTACGAAAGGAGTTCCTGGACCGAGACTCAGACACTTATGTACCTGTATATTCGGCACAAAGTGAGGAGGGATGTTGAAATCTAGACATGCCAGACCGAACTGCACGCAGTGCGGAGTAGACGAAGACTACTCATCTTCGATCGCTACCAGCTTTGGTGAGGTCTCGGTTGGTGATGATCTCGGTGGTGTGAATGTTATTCCATCACGTAATCAGAACACAATGTTTCTACCTAAGCGAGGTAGAACATAGATAGACAATTAGATGTAGATTAAACACTAACACTTTTAACTACCGAAATATAAGTTCAGTAAAACCAAAATCTCACTGATCCTAACCTTTTATCTCTGATCCTTAAATCCCCAATATCTTACGATTCGTACAGTATTGACTTAATGGTCAACGTTCACTTCTATCATTCCAGATACCCCCTAGAACTTTAATACTTTTCAGTGGTGTCCTCTACGAACCTGGGAGTGAAATATTCTCCTAGTGCCGAGATTCAGTCACGGAAAAGGGTGGGATGAATTTTATTTGATGAATCTTAGACTTGAAGGAGTTGCACTCGATATTTTGGTCCAAATATCAGTCGGCAGAGATTTCACAGCCGGAATAAAGTCGAACAAAAACTCATCACCACCAACATATGATTTTCAAATGGATTTAGATCGGTCAGGGTGCGGTATTCAAACATCCGACATCTCTCAAACTCCTTTTATATTTGCGACGAAGCATTTCTCAGTCGATCTTATACCTGCGACCCACTTCCATACTCGTCCGATCACCTATCTATACACGCCCTAATGAGGAAAGTCATGATGGAAACAGGACTTGTGCAAAGGAGGAATAAAAGGGAAGATACACCGAGGGGATGACACAAATCCCCAATGACGACAACAACTCATCCGTACGATATGAAGGTGCAAGGCTAGAGCAACGATGAAATCTTGGTCGGCGTTTATATCTCGGAGTCAATGATAATGTTAAGGTCTCGGGCGCGTGGTGGCCGAGGCTGAGGAGGAATTTGCGCTTCGGCGCGCCAAAAGGGTGTTCTCTGGATGGTTGGGCTTGACATGATTCAACACATGGGTGAAGTCTGGGGTGGTCCGGTCATTTAGGTGGGACGAGGCACTTGTACTTTACGGTAGTTAAACTGATCCGGTCCGGCCCCACCCGTGCTTAAGCTCCAGTAGGAGTGCAACATGAATTACTATACATAGCACGTTAATGAACAGAACAGAACAGAACAGAAGTCGGGGTTGTGCGTCTAGCGCACTTATGGTCTGGTTAAGTAAGGAAATATGTACAGTGGGCAAATTTTTTTTGAATAACCGTAACATGTAGATGGTGTCTTACTGTGCAATAAAATTAGGGAATTAATATAATGGTGAAACAAACTACAGTGGATTATAAATGGTCTGAATGGTTGATAGCGGTGTAAGTAACAACACTGTGAATTTAAAACTAAGCCGTCTTTTGTTTTGTTGTTTTATTTAACATCAGACTAGCTCTCTAACTGAATCGGTTATTTTCTTCTAATTTAACGGAGTGCTTCCTCACAACAAAACCTTGACGCGACGAAATCGAATTTCTTTGGTTTGTTTGTTATTTCACGTCGTGCCAGCGCGCAACACATTTCACAAGGTCACAAGCCGGTTAGCACAGTCTAGGAAAACTACCCGACGTGCCGACGCTCCCAAGATCCCGACATATACTAAGTGGGCCCAGACGCGACTAAATCTTATTAGTACTTTGAAATCATTCGGCGCGCTCTGTAACGTGAGATAATTTACACCCATAGATTCCACGCTCAGCTTCCTGTATTGATCACAGTAACGAGGAATTCTGGAAAGAATTACAGGCTCTTGTATGAAAATAATGCTCTCATCATGGCCCGATATCCAACCAGGCTACCCAGAGATGAAACTGGAATTTCGACAAATAAAAAGCCCGTGATTTCTGGAAGAATAACACGCAGCCAGAGTGTGAATGTCGAAGATAAAAGCTTTCCACCAACAAAAAAGCACACTAAAAGACTTGTTAAACCCAAAATGAAGACTTGTCTAGGTACAGCGATAGTAGCCTCCGATGAGAACTTACGCGTCGGGAGTACATGTCTATCAAATACTAGCATTACAGGTTTGATTGTCTATCTGATCATGACAATACACTTACTCATCTCATAATAGGGGTTAAAGAAAATTGTCAAGATCAGAGTAATAAAGATCTAGTATTTGAACAAGAACTAGCTCATGGTTACCCCAATGAAGCTGAAATAATATGCGATTCCACTTGCGATCGAAAGTCATCTATTGAGCATTCTGATACTGAGAAAAATCTAAATACCCAGAACCAGTATTTAGAGATTAATGCTGGGAATATGATCGATTATCTAAATCTTCTGATGCTCGAAACATACCGAATGCTTGAATTGATTGCACCCAAGGATTTTTTAGAACAGGACTACTATGATCTGATCAGAGATTTACAGATTTCAGATTCATTGCGAGCAAGACAATTCAAGTTATACAAGCGGAGATTTGACCATAATCTACAAGTTTATCTTACGGACTCATATGCCGGCCCTCAATACATGGAGATCAAACAAATTGTCCGAGCACTACTCGAAACTGAGGAGGCCATAGAGAGCTCATATCGGCCCGATGCTGTATTCTACGCATCAAACATTGTAATTTTGCTGAAGGAAATTTTGATCATCAATCGGGGAGATCAATCTAGCAATAATCTTACAAGAAAATTGTTCTCTTATTTCCCAAGACCCTTTATTAATGAGTTTCAAGTCGACTTCAAATATGGAAACAGTGCGCTGGAAAATGAAACGTTTGACCTCGGCCTAGAAATTAAAACACAGAACTTCTTGACTGATCTCAAATCACAGCATGTTGACTTACACCTTGATGATATCCTTCAGGAATTGAAAGAACACTTCTTTTGTCAGCCACTGAATTATTCACTCAGATTTCAAGATTTTATCGAAGAGGGCAGCTTGAAATCTATCTTGTGTGGACGTCCCAACTCTCTTCAACAGTCAGAAAAAATAAAATCTAGATTATGCCTTATTTATTCTCACTTAAATTGCAAAGAAGTCATAATGGAGTCAACTAACTACGTTGACCTTGATTGTTTAGAAAAGAAATTTCCATGGGATCGATTTCTCATTATGCTAGTCCAATGGAGCCGTTTGCGCACAAACGAGCTACTAATTAGCATTCAGAGGCAAGGCGGAATTGACAACATCACTTCACAGCTGTCTGAAAAAATGCAAAGTCATTATTCGCCTCTCCCGGAATATTTACAGTCAAAAGGATTAGGTGCAGGTGGAATAGTTTCGTTAACACATAGGCTGTATGATGGAAGGTATGTTTCATACTCACTGCTGTCAAAATTTTTGTGAGATTAAAGTTGTACTAACGATACAAAAGTCTACTCAGTAAGAAAAATATTCGGAGACTACGTGGAATGAAAAGAATGTCCAACTCAAACTTGGTCGAACAGAAACAGAAGCCCAATGATGAATCGCTTCTGTTAAGCGGCTCAGATAATCGGTTGCGTACAGAGGATCCAGAACTCCCTCAAACTGGAGATTCATCGAGAGAGAGTAGTGAAAACTTGTTTTGTGAAGAAACTGTAACCAAAGATGAGGTAGTTTCGGATGTTGAAGTCAAGGTTGAGGATGTAGATAACGTCCATGTTGACGAATTGGCAGGGCTTAACGGAGGAGAGGAAAATTTCTCTTCAAAGAATGATCCTAGTAACGCCTATGTACTTCAGCAGTATTGCAACGATAGTACTAAGGATCGCTCTGTAGATATAGCCGAAAACTCGCCTAGCATAGAACAGCATCATCCAACAACTTCAGAATCTACAATCAAAAAAATTCAGCCTGAAATCTGCCATTTGTCAGACCGTCAGCACAAAGAGCGAGGATCAAGTGCTGAAAGTATAGAAACTGCTTTCGAGGAAGACAAACGAGATCACAATCTTGGCTCAAGACCCCAAAAAAGACTGAATCATCCGGAAATTTCGGCTCAAGGCAACTCATTACCTTCAAAAAGAATCCAAATAAGTAATGAGAGAACTAACTATAATTCCCTAGAAAGTAGCGAGTATGAAGATGAAATTGAATCACCCAAGGCCACAATGATAAATACCGTAACCAGGGGGATCACGGTCCGACCTCGAACAACATCATCTGGTGTACAGACCCGGACTCCATGGTCCCATGATGATGAACAGCTGCTGCGAGAAGGTATTGAGACTTACGGCTGTCGTTGGAGTTATTTATCAACTATCTTGGAAGGCTGGGACAGGAGACGCGATCAAGTCGCTCTGAAGGACAAAGCGCGGAATATGAAAGTCAGTTATGTTAAGTAAGTCTAATTATGTTTGTCATGGAGTACATTATTAGGAGCTAAATAATCCAATAATAGGGCTGGTGTGCCACTTCCAGCAAACTTTGATAAAGTACGACTGGGAAAGAAAGAGGTTGCTTCTATAAGGAACGTTATTCCCGATTACGATCCTGAGAATTGAATATGGCGACTAGCTTCAACACCACGGACATAACCCTGGCTTAAATCGAAGTTGCTCACGCTTGGTCCGTATTAGGGCTTGGTTGAAGCAGATAAGTAAGTTAAGTATCCTGGAGAAATAAGTATCTCATCATATTTTAAGAGGATCACCGTCCTCGCCATTATTTGGAATCAGGCTACACCTCTTTCATAAGATGAGTATCAGTTAGTAAATATCTTCGCGACTGGAGACATTTAAAGAAACTGCGAATCGAAATAGACCAACACTTTGTAGGCTCTTGTGCACACAAAATCCTCAACACAACAATAGTAGATTTAATCGATAGGGTCGACACAAACTGGGCAATATTTTTCAACTCCAATCAATTAACGTGTATGGCACGAGCTCCTTGGTCTACATGGTTTCTACAATTCTCACACAACAACTAGTAGTGCTGGGTCATGAAATTTGTACACTTTCAAAAATGTCAAAAATATAGATCAAAAGTCCTAGCTCGACCTTTATTCCTGAAATCAACGGGCAGCACCGAAGGGTAACCCAATAGAGCATCTCAGGATAAAGGTTCAATAGTAAGTAGGTGATGACATCATCCAGTCCAGGATTACATAAAATACCAGCTTTGCAGATACCTAACGGACAAACCACATCAAAATCAGCCGTAATTGTCTTAAGGTTAGCATTTTCTTGCATATGGCATTAAAAGCTGAATATATGCCGATCAATATCGCTAAACTTCGGAAAATTTCAGGTCACGTCGGTTGGAATCTGGAAACGATGAAATGTTGCTGAGGACGAAACTTGAACAGAGTCGAAAGCAACTAAGATGAAAAAATACAGGAAATGGAACGCCATTTCACAGAGAGACCTCATTATTGTCTTTCTATACAACAATCTGATAATGTTGCAATAATCCACTTATTTTACGGCTTGAGCAGCTCTTTGCTTAGGAGTATACCTAAGCGAAATATGGAGGTTTCTGTGGTAATACCGCATGAGAAGAGATAAGCGAATCTGGATAAAACGGTGCTACTAGCCAGAAGGTTGAAGTGAATTTACGACGTGGTGACTCCTGGTAATGCGTAACCAGGTGGCAAGTAATTGATCGATATAGAGTCACCAGTAAGCAGCTGTACGAAGTTAATCAGGCATTATAAGTACCTGTCAGAAGTAGCCTAAGTTCTCTTTTCTCCTCATATAGCTAAATAAATTGACTGAATTAGCAGAAAATCGGTTCATGTCATAAAAAGGCTGTTGCGAAAGAATACTATCCTAATTTAACAACTTCTTGTGAAATGCTACAACAACATGATGATGTAATGATATGATGTCCAAATACTGTTTTGTACATACAAGAGAAAATAACTAATCCTGGAGGTAAGGTCGTGCAAAGCTCCTAACTATTGGTAAATTCTTAACGCTTGGTTTCTGACGCCCACATGGTGTTGGACTATTTTGTAAATGGGAGTAGAAGTTAACAAACAATCGAAGGGTTGCTTCTCTATTCTCTGGCTATCGAATATCTAAAATACATAGTTTCTCCTCATTTGAAACCCTACTAGATAACTCGCTAGCAATAATGCTACCACCAAAACATGCCAAATTGTACTCAGGACAGATAAGATTTTTATGTCATCGGAAATATGATTATGAACCCTATTCAAAGTATCAGTCATGTAAAATCGGAACAAAAAGATATTTTCCTTGATGCGCATCATGTATCAGTATAAACTTCTTCGCCATGAGTCATGTTATGAGTCAATTCAGGTAAACCTAGAATGACCGTAGCTCATTATATGATAAAAAATCATGAGTTTAGCTGTTCAAGGAGTCCACGCTCAGCTAACATGGGTCTTAATTTCTTGCTTAGGACTTGTTAATTAAGGCCGTAATTTATTAGTCTCCTAAACATTCAACCTTCAACTCATTAGGACCAAGCGCAGCCCTTAATATCTTTTGAATTTTTTGGCCAAATTTAGACAGATGTTACAATAGCTATAACGAACTGGATATTTTCTATTCGGATTCTCAGTCTTTTTTTTTTTTTTTTTATATTACATTTGGTCCTAAGCTAACGCTATCTTTTCCACATTGGGTCAAGGACCGGTGGAGCCGGCAAGGATCACTGCGTACAGGCCCAACTCATTCCAACCGCATGAACTTCTACTGAGATTGTAGAAGTTAACAGCAAAACTAAAATCAAAAACATAAATCAAAAACTGAAATCAAATTTGGAAGAAATACTGTTTGGTCCGGATCCCGGGATTCTCAGTCTTGTTGGTTCAATAATCAGACACGAGTCATGTAAAATATCCTTGAAAAATATAATTACGACAAAACACTCAAATTCTATCACCTTTTAACATTTATTCAACACATTTGATGGGTCAAATTTGGAGATTACTTGATAAATAATCATTATTTTCTATCAACCAATAAGACAAATACAGAGATAGTGAAAGTTATGGCATACCAAGAGTGGGCAAAATCCTGGGCCAAGCAGAAATAAACTCAGAATCCTCGACAGTTAGCAACTGCAGATTCCGAAACTTGGAGAGCAGCCAAATTTTACCAAAGTAGAAAGTCTGCACAGCAAAAACTGAGTTTTCAAGGCTCACCATTCTTCCTACATCGTAACCTGACAAGCGCCCAAAGAAGTTTGGCAATGCAAATACGAAGTGAGCACATTGGTCTCAATTCTTATCTGTACCGAAGGAAAGTCCCCGGAGTGATTAATCCAAAATGTCAGTGTGGATATCAGTCTCAAAATGTCAAACGTGTGGTCTTGGCGTGTCCTCAGTGGGCAACAGGAAGAGGAAAGGTGCTTCGAAAAGCAAAATATAGGTCATCTGCGGCAATGATGAACAGCCCAGATGACATAGAGAGAATTATAAAATGAATACTGGCAAAAGGCTGGTTTGAACAATTCCAGCTTGCAGGAGAAGTAGAAATAGCATTGGACGAAAGGATGAGACGATGTGGACAAAGATAAGACGGATTTCACACTGTATAAACAGTGTAATCGCACTTCCGGTAGGAAACCTAAGAAAAAATAGACACGAGACAGACAGTTGTAGGGGGTTTTTACCGAATTTGGTTTCCTCCTGTGTAAATATTATAGCTAGTTATACCTGAACGGGCTAAATGAAATCAAATCAAATAGAGATAGACTGGTCTCATAATCTGTTAAGGTAAAAATTCAGTATTTTATTTTTACTATACTCAGGGATGCTAGACGGGATTTCTGTATATAAAAATGAGGCTGGATGGTGCAGTGGTACACCATCCAGCACGTTTTCCCAGGTAGATACTAGGTAGATCGAACACCTACCCCATTCGAGACAGAAGAAAGCTGGTTCATACCCAGTAAAACCCACACATCACTCTCTCTCGCGGTGATATTGTACTCGTGGGATGATAAAAATACACTCCGATGGCCACAGGTTTTCACGCTTCCACCCTGCGGTAGGTGTGCACGGAAGAGGTTGCACGTTGTAAGGGTTAACCTCGAGTGGTATCTGCAAGTGAAATCCGAGTATGAGTGATCAAAACTTCAAATTAAGTCATCCTACTTAAAGTACATATCTTCCGATAAAAACCTGCAAGGGCCTCAAGCCGCCATATCATAAATTATTCACCTATATGTACAAATGCCAAGACGCTAGCTAGCCTCATGTAACTGGCACTGAAGATTTTATGTTGATTATTAACAACTTTGAAGACAGTGGAGCACTTCATCTTCATCCAGGGAGACAGGTATGGGGATCGCTTGTGGTGGGCAAGTTGGGGTGCCCAGGGGAACATCTTGTTGACTAACTTTACGGGCAAGTTTCGTGCGAAAGAATATACCTGCGCGCTCGCTAGGGCTGTTTTATGTGACACCTGTAAATTGGATTGGATAGGGAAGCAAAGTGGCTGGATAATTTACGCCATCCAACAACTTTATGGGCCCCCTGATTCGATGAATCTTATCAGTTTTGAGCGCTCAAATTCACGTTTGACTTGTCTAATAGATTTTCGGAAATTTTGGTGAGCCTCAGAAGTGAGATCCAGATCATAGCTATGGCTAGCTTCCAGATACCGACGACGATGTTCAGAGCATTCTTCGTTCCAGAAATCTTTACACGGGATGCATGGAGGCCAGGGAGGGTTAACAACTGGTAGGATGGCCGAGAGAGTTGCGACGCCTGATGAAGTCACCGTATCAAGAAGCTGGGGGGTTGGGTCTCGAAAGGAAAGGCTATGAGGTGAGGGCCTACGTTGTAAAGGTAAGAGCTTACGGAGGTTAATTGGCAGAAGGTTTACGGATGATCATTGACGAATCAATTTGAACTGCTAATATATTAGGTATTTAGAACTATGAGGTTCTACGAGATAAAAAGCGATAATTATATACATATTTGAGGTAGCTAGAATCTCGCCTTATTTTCCCAAAACAGTATCACGAAATATTCTAGTCTCCTCCATCTGGCAGTATAATCTAGAAACGCTTTCCATACAGTGCTCTATTGTTCCTCTACTCATCATGGAGCCGCCTGGAAAGTTTTTCTTTCACCCCCAGTGATCATACTCTTGTGCATCGTAATCCTGGCCGTTACCAACACAGCACAACTTCGGCATAACCCGCCACCACGGAGAATTCTGCCACCTTTGCCGGTGCATTTGCTGCCTTGGGCCGAGGGGGTACTCTGAACACCTGTCAGTGGTGTCCCTACGAATCTCCAGCTCTCACTGTAGGGTCTGCAAAGCCGAGATTGAATAACAAAGTCCTCACTTCGACGAGGATTCCCAATCGCTTACGCCGTCTGTATCGTCTTCATCTCTCAACACATTCCCCTATCACCATTATCATGAAGCTAACCGTGATCAGATCAGATGGTAGAGTTGAAGCCCTTCTTATCACAAACCCTTGATCATGGAGGAAAAGCCATCCGATGAATTTCCGGAGCGTACCCAGCACTCGATACGGAGACGGTGGATTGGATCAAGTCGACCTCGAATGTTACAAAGAAGGGAGATGTAGCTGGATGTGCGCGCCTATGTAACCAGATCTACGGGATTTTCGAGAATATTTCTCGCGCACGCAGTTTCAATTGCTATTATTTTTATTTTTTTGGGTAGAAGGTTCCGTGGCCCAAGGTGACCGAATTCCACGGGTAAATACTAAGCTGAACAGCTAATCATCACGGAAAATGTATCAATGATATTTCAAGGATCAAGAGAGGCAAGGAGCCCTGTACAAGGTGTGACCTGGGCCAGAGGGGAGCTTAATGTGCTAGATAGTCATAGGCTCAAGCAGTACAATAAACACATCATACAATTAAATATGTTTGTTCAGTGTATCACTTGCCATGATGTTCCACGCTAAAACATTATGACGATAGAAAACAGCCCCATAGAATCATATCGTAATAACGAGTCCGCTCTGTAATTTAAGCGCTGCACGGCGAAACTCTCACACGAAAGATATCTGATAGCGCGGATCGGGCCTTCTCCAGTGTAAAGGAAAATCGTTTAGTAGCAGAGGAAGCGCCGAGAAGAGATTCAAGGTTACCCCGAACACGACAGTCGCATTTCAATTAGAAACCATTCAAGATCAATTATTTAACCGAGAGAAACTTGTGATCGAGATGGCGTCGAGTCACGAGAGAAGTACCCGCTGCTACGCGCATCTTTGTAACAACGTATGTCTCATATCTTGATTACTCACACTCCTCTCCCACGAACGAAAAAAGGGAGGTTGTATTTAGAGTGGGTGAGCCTTTCTCGAACGTTGCAGTTGTCCCGCTCAATGCAGCCCGAAAATCGGTGGTCGAATGTTCCCGCGCGCATTGCGAGACTTGGCAAATCCAAGTACATGGTGATGGGCGCCAGCGCTGCGAGAAAACCACAATCATTGTTTCAGGATCGGCTCAAGATATTAGGGGTATCCGGCCAATCATTAACTGTTTGACGCGTTTTTGAACGAGAGCCAACTGCGGGCCCCGGTCCGGCGCAAGGAGGGGTCTTATTCGGAATAAGATGGGCGAGTCAGAGTCAATAAACATATGCTACCTTGCGTGCCGGGCCCGAAAATAGCCCCCTCTGCAAGGTCCTTCTGGCTATGCGTTTATCCCCAAATGGTTCTGCGGGCAATTACTGGTTCCCTGAATGACTCAGCACGAATAATCACTTCCCGACATTGTGATTCAGATTCTTCTTGTCCAAACAACCAGAACTACCAAAGCTATCAGTGCCTCAGACCGATCGGCGTATACCATACGAGACGAACAGGCAAATCATATAAGTAGTATAGCGTGTTGCTGAATTGATGATGGTGGTTCATTCTCTTGCACTTCTTGCCCGACATTCCTTACTGTTTTTCGCTTTATTTCATCGCTAGTGGCTTGGACCATTATGATCCCTCACTCTTTACATTCGTTTCTCGTATTATTCCTATTGAAATCAGCCTTCTACTCACTATCAGCCTATGCTAGTCCTGTAGACTCTCCGGCTCCACCTGTAGATCCTCCATCCCCGGCTCCTGTAGATCCCGTTCCTGCAGGGCCTGCGGCTCCTGGTCCTACTGACCCTCTGGCCGATACGATTCCGCCGTTTGCCCTAGATTTCGGTGAGTGCTGAGGTCCCAACCGTACCATATCATTACTAATTTTCTACGCCCAGCCCCATTAGTTTGGCTCGATAAGAAAGAAACTTTTTTCCCATCAGATATTGAAACCCATATATCCAATACCAGTCCCTTCATTGACTTGAAAATCGTGGAAACGCCCCTGCCACCTCTGAGCACGGCCAACCTCGACGTTTTGAATCCACTAAACACGGACACGCAACATGTTTTTCTGACCACCAAAGTACCAGTCCAAGACAGTCCCAAGTGGTTGGAGGGAGTTGCACCAGACCAAGATGGCAAGTCAAAGGATGCAACGACATGTGTGACCATTATCAGTAATCGCGGCAATGGAACGGTAGATGTATTCTACATGTATTTCTACTCGTTCAACAAAGGAACCGACGTCCTCTTTCATGAACTGGGAAATCATGTCGGGGATTGGGAGCACAATATGATTCGCTTTCAAAACGGTGAGCCTGACGGTATTTGGTTCAGTCAGCATAGCAATGGCCAGGCATTTCGCTACCAGGCCGTAGAGAAGCAGGGAAAACGACCCGTCGTCTATTCTGCTCGCGGCTCGCACGCCAATTATGCCATCGATGGCAATCACGACCATTCTATCCCCAATATCAATCTGCCTGCTGGTCCTGTCACCGATCGCACTAGTCAGGGTACACTTTGGGACCCAGTCAAAAGCTCGTTTTTCTATACGTATGATGGTGCCACCAATTCAATTGCACCTCTAAACAACAGTCCCCTTGGATTCATGAAATACAACGGCCTATGGGGTAATACAGATATGCCAAAAGACGATCCGGCCCAAGAGTCCCTCTTCGGCTTCCCCAAGTTTGTCGGAGGTCCTTCGGGTCCGATGGATAAACGACTAAACCGTATTAACGTGTGTCTGAATGATGATAAGTCGTGCAAGGTCCGCGACAAATTGGCTGCCTAGGTAGCAGTAGAGATAGAAAATACAGTCAACTCAATATCTTCCATTTTCCTGTCGTCCTCACATTTTTCCTTGACGTGAGAAGTATAATTTGCACGATGATTCCATTGTCATGGCCATAATGATCTAGTGCTCTGAGCCATCTCCAATAAATCATGATACAATTTAAAACAAGCAGGCCATTATTAAAACGGCACGAAAATAACATGTCACTAGATTTCCCATTGTGCAGCTACTTGGTAGTAACCTCTCTGATCTAGGTCATAGGAACAAGCCTATTAATTCATACTAATACCGAGGTTCTCGTGCATAGGGGAGCAAATTCATATGCTTCAAGATTTCATCTATCATTACTGCTGCGCCAATTCAAGGAACCAAATCATTCTAACAAACTTTACCCACATCGTGATCCAACTGAGTTACGAGACATGAAGTGAGACGCCGGCACCCCAAAAATCAAGTAGTTTCAGTGCTCTCCTTTGCTTTTCCCCTCGATTTTGAAATCAATTTTGTTACCTATTTAACTGTTACCACGCAGTTTTCATCAATGCCTTTAGACTTGAAATTTAACAAACTAATCATCTACGACTACACAATGTTCTCAGTGATATCTACTTTAGGATCACGTTGCCCTTAAGATTATTAGTCTTGAGTATCCTAGGTTATGTAACAAGCCTGGCAATATGCTTATTTTTAAGCAAGCAATTGCCAACTCTACTATGGGAGCTCGTTATGCATGGTTATGTAATATCTGCAGGATCACTGTTATCAGGGTAAGATTCGCCCCAGTCAACCGGGCAACATATGCTTGCCATGGAGCGGACAACATCGCCTTTGCATACAGGACAAGTACGTCGACGTGTAGTTAGCCATGGAGTTCTAAGCTTAGATTAGTGATGTTTGAATGAATGGGGAGAATACCTACATGCACTCAGCATGAAACTCGTGACCACATGGTAAGCCCATGACACGGCTAACCCCATCAATGTATTCTTCGAGACAAACCACACACTCAGTCTGTTTTCCTGTGTGTTTTTTCCACTGGCTCATGTGGTTGATACTCTTTTCAAACTGAGATTGCCGCGATGGTTTAATAGAATTTTGCAATTGATTTGAGGTTCCCAGTAAATTATTCATCTGGTCCGAATCAGTGTTCATCTGAGAACTAATGTTGCATGTTTGAGTATTTAAAAGTAGAGGAGTAGTAGCTGATACATTCGATGGACTTGGCCGACGAGGGGAATAGTCGACGGATGTAACAATGCTTTGATAAGTCCTTACAGGAAGTCTCTCGACAACTGATCTTGGTGCTCGCCATCTACGCCGTTTTATTCGCGATCGAACCAAGAGTAAGGCATATACAATGGTAAGAGTAGCGAGAGGACTGATAACCAGTACCAATAGAGTATCTAATAAAGGGTTTGATCCGCTTATAGGCGTGAGCGTAACCCACAGTCCTTGGGCGGAGTATTTGTCAATATTTTGGTTGGAGGCCGAACTAATTAGTTCTATACGCTTTCTGTTCGCACCTGATGCACCTTTTGGAATAATATCAGGACCACCGTCGATATAGCTTTTATTAATTTCTATAGTCTCTTTTTTATCATCTTCTCTTTTCTGTATAGTATATTCGCCACTTCCTGGCGTAATAATACCGCCTGCAAGAGGGATATTTTTGGAGGTCACCTGGACCACTTCACCGCCATCTGGGTGTGTGTTTATGGTTTCAAGCACAACATTATTCTGTCCTAGACCCTGTTTTTGGTGGCTGTTTATCATAACAAAGTCTACATCTGACTCAGGCTTTTCTATCTTATTAGCCCCGATTAAATCAGGGTCACGCCAGTCTTGGATCCCTATCAAAAAATCATCAGCTGGCTGGGCCAGAGTTTTGCTTTTAAAATCTTCTGATTTTCTAGATCTTGCAGCTTCCTGAGTATTTGGTTTAATCCGGCCACTTTTTTTATTATCATCTGATGTAGACCAGTCAAGTTGTCCACTGCTTGGCGGTCGGCTGCTGATAGGCTTAAGTTGCTGGTTGTTAGGACCAAAAAAAATGGAACTGAGCCAGGTTGCTGTCCCTGTCACAGTACTCTGCAATTTATGTATGTAATTGAAACCTATATCTCTATCTCGAGATGCATTTTCTTCAATATGATTTTCTTCCTGAGCAGGTATGTAATTACGATGTGAGTTAATCTTCATATTTTCTGTGGCTACTATATTACTTTTGACTGATAATCTCGGCTTCCCATATTTGTCGTCCAGGTTACTTGGAGCCTCAAAAGAACTAGCCAAGGAGCTTAGTAGATGTGCCGTTGTATAGGAGGTAAATACGGAAGGTATATTAGCACTCGATGTATCTCCTTTAGCAAACATTTGAATTAGGGGCCCACCCTTAGTGTTATCACCCACAATAAGCCCGATAGCCCCTCTCCGTTGAGCCCATTTCAATTTTTCGAGGAATCCACAGCCACCACGACTCAATAAAACCACTTTGCCAGAAATCTCAGCTTCTTCTTGTAGAAAGTGAATGTCTGAAATGATATCCTTTTCGTTAATGTGTGGCTTTTCAAAATACTTGGTTGGCTTAGAATCTGAAAGAACTTGAAAAAGATGGTCGTCAGTGCCATCTTCATCTATTGATTCTGATCTAACACTTGGATTTTTTAACCGCATTACATAATCTTCAAAGGGTTCATGGTCACCCTTGACTCGACTTTGGGTCGGCATTTTATCAAAAACAGAGTTTGATCCATCGGAATTGATATGCTCTGTAGCAGGGGTCACAGCTTTAAAGCTTTTAGCAAAATTCTGCCAACCAAGGACATCACTGCAGCCTAGTTCGCCATCAACGGTATCATCTCCCAGTCCAGAGCCTATCCATATTTGCCCCTTGAGCCCATCTATCGCTAGGGCTGGTCCGAAGGATGCTGGACTTGCGATAAATGAAGTTGTATTGTCGTGTGTAAGTGTGATAAGTGCACTCGGAGGGAAAAGAGAGAACGTGGGCCCAATCGAGAAGAACTTTTGGATACCAGCCTTAAGCGGGACGGACGAATTTGTTATTGCATAAGAGGAATCGGATGAAAATAAGAAGACGACGAACATTAAAATAGATGTGAAAAGTAACATTGCCGCGATGATGAGCTTTGGGGGCCGCATGTTGATGGGTTCCGTGAGCCACCTAGTCAGCTCTAAGGCTGAGCAAGGAAAGGAAAGAAGAGCATTCGCAAGTACAAAGAATATAATTCGTGAATCAAAAGCCTGGGTAAGACCTGCTAACAGTGGTGTAGAAAGTATAGAAGGTGCTGACGTCGCTGCGTTATCGAGCTCAGCTCCAGCCTTGACACTGACGATGATTGCATACGGAAGACAAGGGTGATATCTACCCCACCGCTTACATAATCAAGCGCTAGTACCAATCCTGTGACAAGTTGCATTCCCAGTCTTCAACGGATTATTTGCCACCTGTTCCTGTCTACGAAATCCCTCAATTTCAAAGTGCAATGTTCCCGTAAGTCTTAAGTGAAATCACACCTTAAGTTAGTAGAAGACGGCAATACACGAAGCCGGTCGCCATTACAATTCTAATGCTCACGTGGCTTGAATTGTTGGGAACTCTTTGTTTATTATTGAAGTGACGAAGTAGTCTCTAGATCTAATTAAGATAATTAATATTGCATGAATTGGACTGGTACTTGGAATTTAGCAGGAGCATATACTGGATCCCTAAATTCAAATTCACTGTTAAAGGCTATTTCCTCGTAGATGGGATCCGGAGTTTATCCGGGTCCTATGAGTTGATTATGTCAGAGATGAGCGAGACAACATCTAGTGGGTGATCCCATAGTCGTGATTTTTGTCTCTAGACATAAGATAAACCTATTTTGGATACAGTCGTGTGGACAGCTATTCACTCTGGTGCCATACTTTTACATTCACTTCGGTTATGAGAGCGACCATCTTTTGGATACGAGAGTCTAAATTGCGCAACTCAAGGTTTGTTAAAATGATAGGAGCGTAAGTCGTGACCAAAATAATGCCAGTCCTCTAAAGTAATTATAATCTCTATATTACTTTACTAACCCTGAAAAAATGCGCTGTGTTTCTCAAGTATAGAAGTCTCAGCCTATACCGGTAAATTTTTGAAATCGAAATTAGAATTAATTTTAATTTCAAGTCCCTACCCAGTCTTGACTATGAAGGACTATTATAAGCTGTTTAAAGGCTATTTAAAGTTTACTTGGGTTTAAATTTTAATTATTTTCAATATTTTCCAAGTGACACAGTAGGTCTTGCTCTGGTAGCTTTTTTGAAATCAAAAGATGCATCTAGAATACACTCAATTAAGGGAATATACTTTCGTTCAATTTCCAACTCCAAAATAAACATGCAGTGCACTCGTGGGTTAAAATAAGACTTCTCGCAGCAACTTCATTTCAGTAACATACTTTGATCCAAAATTATCAATCCTCGAACATGCCGATTCCTCTAAATTAGGACCCCTATGTATACTTCGAAGATACTAAAGGAAGACCAGGCTGCAGGGATTCAGATTTCCCAAGCACAAGTCACTTTGTAGCTTTCAAACTTTACATGCTTATGTTTTAACTTAGTGCCGGCACATATTGTTAGAAATTGTAAAGGATTTCTAGGAGCAAATATCTTGAACAAGTGTACATTTTCGGACAAGAATTTATTGATAGTTGTATAGAATATCGAACTCTCTTCTTGTCCGAAATTGTACACTTGTTCTTCGAGATATTTGCTCATAGAAACCCTTGACAATTTCTAATAGATTATGAGACCAACGCTCTAGTGAACTGAGCTGATTAATTTTATTGATAAGCTGTCCTTAGATCGAGTATACCTCATTTGTTGATACGTTACTTCAATTCTCCGAAACTCACAATGTCCGCTGTGGAAATACTGAAGTCAATGAAGAGTGTTCCAAAGTTGGAGAAATCTACATATAATAGACGGAGTACTCATTTTCTAGATACTTTTTCTCTATTTGAAATTGATAGTTACATTCTAGCGACAAAAGTCGAACTTGAGACGCAGGATACAAAGAGCTCAGAGTCTGACTTACTTATCTCAAGTCAAGATAGAAATATACGAGTTGCCTTATCCCAACTTGTACTCGACATCGCATTCCACTTCGTTCATTCCCCTTACTTTTCGAAAACCTGTTGGGATAACCTGAAATCGTTCTACTGTCCAAATGCAACTGGAGACGTAGACGAACTATTACAGGAATACTGGGGATTAACGTTTGAAGATGACATCGAGGTTGACGAATGTACGCAAAAGTTGTCTAAAATACGATCTAAAACTTATTTGATCAACAGCATGTCAGCGCCTTCCAATTCAAGCATAAAGAAACGAATACTAACCCACTTTGTTAAATGCCGTGGAGGATTTTACATGTCAATCGTCATTTCATTGCGGGAACCAACAACTTCTTTGCAATCCGCAATATCGTCAACTCGTGCTTCCCAAGCAGTGTATCGCGATCTTCACCCGACACTGAATGTGGCCGTAGTCAGTGAATCTAATTCTAATGCCGATAATTCTGGGAATAAGAAACGATTTGCGCACTGCAAACGACGTGGCCACTTGTGCGAGAAATGCTTTCACTGGGTTGATACTCCAGACGGATCCAAATGGGTGGCTAAGAACCCCATTGAGGCTACCAAGGTTAAAATGTTGCGAGCCAAAGCTGCCAACAGAAATAAGCCCAGAAAAGTAGAATCCGTAGACGTTAGGAGTGATGAAACATCTGATTTTGGTGTGTTGGTGATGGAGAAACATGCACTGATGTCCTCCAATGGGTCCAAAAAGAGCGATGTTGTGCTTGATACTGGCGTGACAAACCGTACATTTCACGACGAGTCGATGTTCATTTCATTGTCTGCTAGCAATAAAACCGTTATGAATGGAGGGCAAGACTGAATACCTGTACGCGGTGTCCTCTACGAACCTGGGAGTGAAATATTCTTCCAGAGCCAAGTTCAGTCAAACTTCGCAATACCGAACAAGTTGGCCCACGAGGCAATGATTCAAATTACTCCACCATATCTATCTTTCACTCCCAACGAAATCGATTCCTACCTAAACCTCATCAAGTTTACTATTGAGGAAGATTTGGTTAGAAGATTGTACTGCTGGTAAATGCCTGAAGCTTATGATATATATTGTTATGCTACAAAGTTCTACACCTACGATACACTCTATAGACCCTAGTTTAGACCAGCTTACAAATCAAGTCACATGTATTCTAGGGCTCAGTGACTGATACTTCAACATTTACAAGTACGACCTAGTACATCCTCATCCCAATGACCACACCTCTTGTCGACTGTCTCTGGCCTTAGCTGGTCGCCAGAAACACGCCCACGCCGATATTTACACCCGACGGAGGAAGCAAAGCGTGGCGCACAAATCTGGAAGACAATTCCTTGGGATGAATATGAGAGAGATCAGGACAAGTTAACAAGATGATGCAAAGGATTGATACAGTCTCGACGGGCGTGGAATTTTGAAATTTGGAAAGGAGTTTTTATAAATTGAGCTTTGTGCGTGCCAAGTCTTCGGCTGCGAGAGTGCAGGCGACACTATAAAAACGGCCATGGTTGAATGGTGCGGTGGTACATCATCTTTGCCGGTCTGCCAAGTAGAGTCTGGATAGCTTAGACACATATCCCACTTGAGACAGTAGATCGCTGGTTCGAATCCGGCAAAACACAACCACATTTCTCGCGGCGCTGATATGCATGGATGACTAAGGCATGCTTGGATAATCAAAGGTTTTGAACTTTCCTTTGGTGAGTACTTACGGAGGAGGGTTGACTGTTTGTGTAAGCAAGCATACCTCATAGTGGTATTTGCAAATGAAATCCAGAGTATGAGTGTCTCTAACGTCAAAAGAGTCATCCCACATGTATACATAGTGCCGGTCATGTGTCATAGCTAGATAGCTGAATACACATTAAATGATTTTAAAAAAAAACCCCCCCGTTATGAATGCCTTTGACCAACAAATTCCTGTCTCCGGAACTGGCAGGGTATCATTCAAGGTATTCGAGTTGGAGAACAAGAGCTTCAGTAAAGTTATCTCAATGGAAAATGTTTTGAATGTTCAATCATGTTCAAGAAATCTGGTTTCTGGAATTCAGCTTTTTTCGAAGGGTTTTGGCATCAAATCAGTGAACGGAGGGCTCAGTGTGTTATCAAGGAATGGATCAATTATTGCTACTGCTAGACCAGATTCAGGATTATTTTGCTTTAATACAAATTCTTCCTCCTATTCACCCATCGCATTTTCAAAGTCGTTCCACCAAACTACTGTTGCATGATGCGCAGGCGTCGAATATAGGAGGGCAAGACTGAACACCTGTCAGTGGTGCTCTCTACGAACCTGTGAGTGAAATATTCTCCCAGAGCCAAGTTCAGTCAAATTTCGCAATATCAAAGAAGTTGGCCCACGAGGCAAAAATTCAAATTACTACACCATGTCAATCTTGCACTCCCAAAGAGTCCGATTCTCAACTAAGCTTCATCAAGTCTACAAGTACGACCTAGTACATCCTCGTTTCAATGACCACACCTCTCGTCGACTTTCTCTGGCCTCAGCCGGTCACCAAATACACGCCCACGCCGATATTTACACCCGACGGAGGAAGCAAAGCTTGGAGCACAATTTTTGGAGATAGCTCTTTGGGACGGACGTGAGAGGGATCAGGACAAGTTTACAAGATGATGCAGAAGAGGGATACATTCTCGACGGGCGTGAAGTTTCGAATTTTGGCAGGGAGATTTACGAATTGGGCTTTGTGCGCGCCAAGACTTCGCTAGCGAGAGTGCAGCTGACACTATAAACACAAGCCAACGATGGATGGTGTTGTGGTCCGCCTCCTGGTGGTGTTCTCTGGTATGGTTTGAGTAGCATGGGCACCTACTCCACTTGGGAAGGAGACATCTCAGATTACATTTCGCGCGGAGAAAAGTTGATGGATGACAGAGGCATGTCTGGATAACTCAGGGTTTTTGAGACGTCCCCCTGGGTGGGTATTCACGGATGAGGGTTGACTTGGGGTGAAGAAAAAGCCACCATAACTTCGCAGTGGTACTTGCAAATGAAATCCGAGGCATGAGTGCTCCTATTATAAACTGAGTCATCTTTTCTGTACTTTTCTCTGATATTGTGTCATAGCTAGATAGCTGCATACGCAATTAAAATCTGATGCAAAAAAAAAAAAGATGCGCAGGCGTCAATGTCGGAGCACTTGCTCCGGTAGGCCTGAGCTTGGGATTCATGCCTTAGGCACACAAGTGGACTCAGGTTTTATCAACGCTTCAAGTATCATGTAGAGACATGATTCATTCATGAGTTGATATTGTTCAGAAGATCATGACTATATCACAACGTCATGTACAGACACGATTCATTGTTTGTACCTGTTGTATCAACCATGACTATGTCTCAGTGATAGGAGAAACATCATTAACTAGTTACTAGAAACCTAGTCAAGATCCTAAACACATAACTGAGACTAGGAGAATTTTACTGAGTAAGTAATTATTCTGATGAATCTAGATCTGGAGGAACATAATCTGGTTGCTTGGCTCGAGGTATATGAACCTGAGCATATCATGTATAATAAATAATATAGAAATCTATCTCAATCTCAATCACAATTATCATCTTAATTCATGTCACCATCAATAGCTGCAAAGGACAGTTTAACCATTTCCTTACACCAAGGGCGTCCTCACATAGATATCTATATACATATACATCTCAATCAGTCACCACTTTTGCATCAGCAAATCCATTCTCATTACCCGTGATGTCACAGAGATTGACCCTGTAATACCAACACTTATCAGTGCCTGACTTGGTAGCAAGCACAGACAGCTAGGTACTTCATTGGGAGACAACCCCATAGCAAGTTCGACCAGGCTGTGATAGGAAGCGACTGCTCGTCCCACAAGTTGGGTTCCAGTAGTGCGGAAATCGAGACATCATATCACAAATTGATATCATTGTCTCCCAGGCGTCCAAGACCACGCCAGAATCGACAACACGAGCCAAGCTAAGCTCCCGGAGTTTGTTGGAATTCTCCAGGCCGAATGGGTGAAGCCACATATAACGCAAAAGGATACAGGAGGAAAGGAAAACTATAGTGATAAAGTTACGGATCTGAACATAACCATTGTCACATGGATCGACAATTACCACCAAGGCTTCATCGACTACATGCTCCTCGAAATATTCCGAGAGGACTTTGTTGAGTGGGATCCTGATAGATTCGCTATGGTCTTCCCACCAATTCTAAGAAGATTCAAGACATTCCTCATGTCAAGAGGAATATAAGTAGGGTGTGAGAACAATAAATCATCGACCATCGACCATCACACAGCAGCTGGCAGCATTGCTTGAAAATGATCTTGACGACTTACCTCAGCGGCCGAAGCGCGAACTTGACCAGATGATTAGATACGGGCCTGAATTTCAGTCACATGTCTTCAACGAGGGCATACGAAGTACAGTTAAAGTGGCCGATAATAATAACAGTGATGATTATGGCGCGCAATCAGCGGATCTAAAAAGCACGAAAACTGGCAAGAACAAATATATCCCGGCCAAGGGTGAAAAAGAGCAGGTGTCACGGTGGGAGGGGTTTTTTTTTGCATCAGATTTTAATTGCGTATGCAGCTATCTAGCTATGACACAATATCAAAGAAAAGTACAGAAAAAATGACTCAATTTACAAGAGGAGCACTCATGCCTCGGATTTCATTTGCATCTACCACTGCGAAGTTATGGCGGCTTTTTCTTCACCCCAAGTCAACCCTCATCCGTGAATACCCACCCAGGGGGACGTCTCAAAAACCCCGAGTTATCCAGACATACCTCCTTCATCCATCAACTTTTCTCCGCGCGAAATGTAATCTGAGATGTCTCCTTACCAAGTGGAGTAGGTGCCCAGGCTACTCAAACTATACCGGAGAACACCACCAGGAGGCGGATCACAACACCTTCCATCGTTGACTTTTATTTATATTGTCAGCCGCACTCTCGTAACCGAAGACTTGGCGCACACAACGCTCAATTCGTAAAACTCCTTGCCAAAATTCAAAATTCCACGCCCGTCGACATTGTATCCTTCCTTTGCATGATCTTATGAACTTTTCCTGATCCCTCTCACATCCATCCCAAAAAATATTCTCCCAGATTTGTGCGCCACGCTTTGCTTCCTCCATCGGGAGTACGTATCGGCGTGGGCGTGTATTTGGTGACCGGCTGAGGCCAAAGAAAGTCGACGAGAGGTGTGATCATTGGAATAAAGATGTACTAGGTCGTACTTGTAAACTCGATGAGGCTTAGGTAGGAATCTGACTCTTTGGGAGTGAAAGATTGGCATGGTGGAGTAATGTGAATTTTTGCCTCGTGGGCCAACTTCTTTGATATTGCGAAATTTGACTGAACTTGGCTCTAGGAGAATATTTCACTCCCAGGTTCGTAGAGAACACTGCGTACAGGTATTCAGTCTTGCCCTCCGTCACGGTGGGTTACGGGTCAGGTTCTGGTGGTTTAATAATATAACTGCGTTGTGCGATAGTAAGGGAAGATTATCTACAGGAGGGATCGATACTAATATCCTAGTGTACGGCGCTAGCTCTTAGTTCCGTGACAGTACTCCCACTCTAAATTGCGTTTGGTCTCCAAACTGCATGCTTCCATCTGTAAATTAGTATGACCTCAATATAAACTTTTGTTATATTCTCGTTTCAATCAGTTTCCATGTTGGCCGCCTGTTTCTTCCTGAACGGCGTGGCAGTTGTGGTAAAATCAATTTATGTGCAGGTGGTATCTTTGCCCATGTAGGTGGGCCTGGCTTAAGGGGGTTCGAGTTATGAAAATCCTTCAGTGATTTCTCGCAGCCTCGTAGGTCAGATTCTGGCTGCCAAGATGGCACATCATCATATTTCCACTTAATTAGGTAAGTTAAGCCATTTTTATCTAGATCTTCATCATGTACGTCCAAGATTTTTTCGAAAACCCATTTATCTTCGATGTTACCGTCGTCGTCTCTTTCGGCAACTCGCCCGGCTACAGGACGACGTTCCACTCCATTAATAGACGATTGGTTTGGAATTATTGGGTCTATCCATGGTCGGATTAATGAAGTACGAAAACTATTGTTCACCCGGATATGATCTGGAAGCTCAACAACAACTGATCCATTATATTTTTTCAAAATCTTATACGGGCCGTCCCATTTATCATCCCATTTCTTCTTTGGACGATTGGTTTTGAGATTCTTTAAACAAATCATAACTTTATCGCCTGCTTTATACATTGGGGCTTCCTATCTTCGAGAGTTTGCATTCTCTTCATATCTTTCTTGCGATTGATAAGTAAGAGCTTTGAGCTTCGTTAGGATGCGATCGAAACGATTGGCAAGGCAATCTGCTTTAAAATATTCCTATTTTGCAGCGTCGGAGAGGTTAAGTGGCTTTGGATCTGGCGGCTCTATCCCTGTGTGGGGGTTATAGCCGTAATTTGCGAAAAAAGGGGATACACCTGTTATTTCACTTATCTGGTTATTTTGTGAAAATTCAACGAGTGGAAGCCAGTCAGCCCAATCATCCTGGGTGAAACTAACAAATGCTCGTAGGTATTTATTCAAAGCAGAATTTACTATTTCTGTTTGCCCGTCGGTCTGCTGGTTGAAAGCCGAGCTGTGCTTTAAAGAAATTGAAAGACGAGCACTTAGCCTGCGCCAGAATTGTGAAACAAATGCAGAGCCGCGATCCGAAACAATGGAATTGGGTGCACCGTGAGTTTTGTAAACATTTTTGACAAAGGATTCAACCAGTTCCATTGTATCAAGTGATGTTGTGGCAATAAAATGTCGCATCTTAGTGAGTCGGTCTACTATCACAAGAATATGACGGAAAATCTTACCATTGCGCTTACAAGGTGGTAAGTCAACTATGTGATCAATTGAAATGTTAGACCTGTTGTAAAAATATGAGTTCATAACTGCACACACCTTCAGGGGATAACTGTGCACCAGCAATGTTAACCCCTTAGAGTCTGATCACTATTGCCTCCTGGTCCCTACACACTAACATCAACGTGTTCATTACAATGAGGACACCATTGTAGTTACTCTAGCTATCATAGACAATACCATGTAGAGGAATAAGGGTAGGAACTCCTGTATATAGATAGGACTTTTTTACTCTCAGTATCTATATATCAATCATCCGCAAATACAATTCACCATCAATCAATCATCTTACTCTGTCCAAGTGATCTATTGAATTCTCCCATACCTATCAGTATTCTATTCACAAGGTGGCGTCTCCCTATCCATCGCCCTCAGCTTTTCAATAAGACCAGGCACGGAGTAGGATTTCGAGAGGTTTTAGAAAACCAGGTGGAGATGAACGTGGGGATTTTGTTCTAAAGCAGAGAGCGCATCTTTTCACAAATTTTGCCACAAATTGACACATTCGAGGCCACCAATATGTTCTCTGTAGTAGATCTAGAGTTTTAACTCGGCCGGGATGACCTGCAGGACCCGAAGAATGGCAACGGTGGATAATTTCTAGACGGAGATCCTCATTGTCGGGTACAATGAGTCGGCCACGAAAATACGCTAACCCCTTATTCAGTTTAAATTCTACTTGATCCTTACGAAGTAGAGATCTCAGTTTCCTTGGCCACCGCCTTTCGGATACATTTTGCAAAGATTCGACTATGGACTTAGCAATTTTGTTTTCTTTGTAGGCTTGAATGATTAAATCTGTCAAAGAAATTTCAGAGGATATGATTTTTAGCGATTCAACTCTCTCATTTTTTTGAAGAAAACTCTGAAATAAGTCTGGGTCAACTTTGTGTGCAGGAATCATAGTACGGAAGCGATTTTTAAGGCGTTCATCAGAATTGTCTTATGGCTGAAGACCTGGAAAACGACTTAATGTATCTGGAATTAATGCGCCCGACCCAGGACGATAAGTGATTGTAAAATTGAGCTGGGACAAGAATTCAGACCACCGTACTTGTCGCTGGTTTTTATATTAACTAGGCTATATGGGAGCAGGACGATGGATACTCTTGGGGAAGTTATGCTCACAGTAGGTCTCTATAGTCGCTGTCGCGTGTGTTCTCGTGATATGTAAGACTTGACTCTATATTCTCGTATAAAGGAAACTTAGTTACCAATGAATGGACGGAGGTTGAGACCTCCTTATATCTTGCTCCAGACTTACTGTGTTGTTCACAGCCTAGTGCTAGAACATTCCCTTATGATATCATTTCTCTCCTACGAGAAATGACCAGCTCGTTCTCTCTCAGTCCATCAGTCTCTTGCTGATTCCGTTATCTCTATTCCATCTAGTTCTAGTTTGGTCCAGTATACCCACATATGAATTACACACTCAACACCCCACGGTTTAGTTCCACAGTCACGTGCATATGCTATGACGCGACCTAAAGCATGTACCATGGTAAGCTAAATCGATAACACAACACTGGTTAAGTTTTTTTTTTTTGCATCAGATTTTAATTGCGTATGCAGCTATCTAGCTATGACACAATATCAAAGAAAAGTACAGAATAGATGATTCATCGTTAAGGAAGAGCACTCATGCCTCAGATTTCATTTGCAAGTACCACTGCGAAGTTATGGTGGCTTTTTCTTCACCCCAAGTCAACCCTCATCCGTGAATACCCACCCAGGGGAACGTCTCAAAAACCCTGAGTTATCCAGACATGCCTCCATCATCTTTCAACTTTTCTCCGCGCGATATGTGATCTGAGGTGTCTCCTTCCCAAGTGGAGTAGGTGCCCAGGCTACTCAAACTATACCGGAGAACACCACCAGGAGGCGGATCACTACACCTTCCATCGTTTGCTTGTGTTTAGAGTGTCAGCTGCACTCTCGCAAGCGAAGTCTTGGCGCGCACAAAGCCCAATTCGAAAAACTCCTTGCCAAAATTCGGAATCTCATGCCCTTCGAGGTTATATCCGTCCTTCGCATCATCTTGTCAACTTGTCCAGATCCCTCTCACATCCATCCCAAAGAACTGTCTCCCAGATTTGTGCGCCACGCCTTGCATCCTCCGGCGGGTATAAATATCGGCGTGGGCGTGTATTTGGTGACCAGCTGAGGCCAGAGAAGGTCGAAGAGTGGTGTGGTCATTGGAATGAGGATGTACTTGGTCGTACTTGTAGACTCGATGAGACGAAGATAGGAGTCAAACTCGTTGGGAGCGAAATAACGACGTGGATGAGTAATTTGGAATTTTGCCTCGTGGGCCAACTTCTTTGATATTGCGAAATTTGACTGAACTTGGCTCTGGGAGAATATTTCACTCCCAGGTTCGTAGAGGACACCGCGTACAGGTGTTCAGTCTTGCCCTCCCACTGGTTAAGTTGTTTAGCTGTGAGGAAGGTTTTTAGATTCTTGTGATCGGTGATTATTTCGAATGGTTGCTGAGCACCTGCTAATTCAGGCCGCCATTCTTCTAAAGTTTTTATGATTGCAAGGAGCTCTTTATCATATAATCTTATAGTCAGATTCTGCAGGGCTATGTTTTGAAGAGTAGAAAGCTACTGGGTGAAGAATACAATCATCCCCCCTCTGGAGCAGTGCACCTCTTGAGGCCCAGTTTGAGGCATCAGTTTCAACAATGGTGTGCTTGTGATAATCGAAATATGCAAGAATTGGTGCTTGGGCAAATGCTC